CAGACCTGAGATCAGACCTGAGATCAGACCTGAGATCAGACCTGAGATCAGACCTGAGATCAGACCTGAGATCAGACCTGAGATCAGACCTGAGATCAGACCTGAGATCAGACCTGAGATCAGACCTGAGATCAGACCTGAGCCCACCGTGTCCTCAGGTTCTGTTACCCACAGAGGTGGTCTGAGGACACGTCTGGCCTCACTCCTGAACATGCATGAGTCCAATCTGTCCTCGGGACAGTTAGGAGCCTGTCTGCAGAGTAGTTGTCCACTGGAGTACTGCAGTTTTACAGGAACGTCAATACTTTTTGGTGCATAATCAATGCCTGACTCTAAACGTATTTGTTGCCAACGTGAGCGTACGCTAACGTATCACATGACCAATCACTTTTAATGACCGGATCTGTACAGCATCGAGGTAGTATTATATCAACGAATATAAAGTATTTATCAGGAGTGTCTTAACACCTCGCTACTTTAGTTTCAGATCAACCAGAAATGTAGTCGCGCCTGCTGGTTTCCAAGGTTCTCACACTGGTAATTACTGATGTAACAATACGATATGATTCACAAATTAATTTTTTTTGTTATCAGAATTTTTCTTTTTTTAACAAAATGACAGACATTTACCTCGCTAACTGTCAATACACAACAAAATAATATTAAATATATATCTTCCCACGTTCTGTTCAAACACCTGAATGTCACTTACATTACCGTAGGCTGCATAACGCCACCTACTGTACTAGAGTGTGTAATGTCATGGTATGACCATTGATTTTTTTTTTTAGATAACGCAGCCTATTTCTTGCTCCTTGATGTGCAATTAATTTTCTATTTCAACAGACGTCTATCGTCACGCATTTGTATGAGAAACAAGATACGAAACTGAGATTTTAAATGGTAATACGTAGGTTTTATTTTAGAGATTTTAAATGGTAATACGTAGGTTTTTCTTTTTTAAGTTTTTTTCATTTTTTGTACTCTGTGTCAACCCAGTAGGGAGGGTTAACTCGAAGTCAAGTCCCAGCTGTTTTCTTGAAGACATTCAAGACATTTAGACAAAAATGTGCAG